AAAAAAAAAAAAAAAAAAAAAAAAAAAAAAATAGGCTCCAAATATCAGCATTATCTACCTGACTTTTTCTGACATAATTCTATAGCTATTATAAACCCCTATGTTAGATTAGTTACAAGTCATTTCTACACCTGACTGACTTTATATATTAGAAGTAGATTTTATGTAGTTCTATATAATTCTTGGAATATGTCCTTTGCATGTATTACGTGTTTAAAATACATAATAAGGAGAGTTGGCTATAGATAAAATTTTTCCAGTTAGTACTGATAATTTATCTCATCTCAAATTGTTTTTGGTTTGGGATTATTTAGAGCCTAATTACTAGAAAAATGAATACCATCATTGTCACTAAATTCATGAGACACTCATTAGGTTAGGTATTGTTCATTGTTAGTAGGCATAATTTCTATTTCAAATGAATCTTTTAAATGCCTGTCACATGGACAAATGTAGTTTTACATGAAATGTGTTTTATTATGTGTGTCTGTCAGGTGCATTTCTGGTGAGATGACAAAGGAATACCACTGATGGTTATGTGAAAGGAGGATGATGAGTAATAGCAGCCTGCTACCTTGAGGGGGAAAACTCAAAGAAGATGCACTCCAATGTACAACCACTGACATGCTTTTATGATTATCATGATACAAATTTAACAAGATATTCATGATCAGCCAATATTAATTTGTGTGCATTGTCCAGAACATTTCAGATACTCCAGAATATTCCACAGCCCTGCTTTGAAAAGCACTATGTAGCCTTGGGTCATAATCTGCTTTGCTTTGTGGCATATTTGTGGCAGTTGTTAAAAGCTGGGAAAGATGAAGTGTAGTTGTGAATTAGCTCTGCGTATTATCTCCATGTGTATCTCAACATTTTTGGTTGGTTATAATCCAGTTTGCTTCAAATTTCATATGTATTTAAGGGTATACTTTTAATGAATATATTTTTGTGTAAACCTAGAAGTGCTGTGGGGGGATGTGTCATGTGGTCAGAAGTGTAATTCCATGTTTTCTTCCCCACAGAATGCCATAGTGTCTGTAAAAGAACTGTGCGGACTCCCTCCAATTGCCAGTCTGAAACAGTGCCTGTTGACCCTGTCCTCTCGGCTCATCACCAGTGACAATACTCCTTCCGTCTCTCTTGTGATGAAAGACAACTTTCCTCATCTGGAGCCTCTGGGGGCAATTCCAGATGTGCAGAAAAAGATGCTGGCTGCCTATGATCTGGTAGGAAATTGTTACTCTCTATTTTTTCTCTGTGTGGGGAGGGAATCATATGGCAGGGGCTCTTTTGTGGAACTCCAGTAAATAACACAGAGTGACTGCCTTTAAAACCTCAACTGGGAGTGGCAGGCAGAGCTGGCCCACTCAGCCCCACCTAAGCCCCAGTGGAGACCTCTGAGGCAATGCTTTGAACCTAGAGCTCCACAGATTAAAACTGGAAAATCTCTGCTTTAGCAAGCAATGAATTTTTATTAAGTCCTCAAAAGTATACACAATTTCTCATCATCTAAATGACTTTAGCCTGCAATGTAACCATTTAATCGCATACCTATAGGAAGTAAAATTATGCCTCAGTACTGCCTTATGATGGTTGAGACAAACTATTTCTCTGGAATTTATATTTCTAAGCTAATACTGTTATCTGATTTTCCTGAATATATAATGGAATTTAAATAGCAAATAAATTTAGGAATAACTGTATTTCTGCATATCCTAATTCCATAAAAAAATTAGGACCAAATGAAAAACTGGAAGAATTTGTGACATGTGTGCCAGGTAAAGTGTAAATAACCTTAAAATAGAAAGAGCACTTAAAAATCAGTGAGGAAAAAAATGAGGAAAAAAAATCTTAATCTACATCAGTCAGGATTAAGTTCAGCTTCATGAAACTAAAAATGCAAACTAATCATGGCTTAAAAATACAAAGTTTTGGGGCTTCCCTGGTGGCGCAGTGCTTGAGAGTCCGCCTGCCGATGCAGGAGACGCGGGTTCGTGCCCCGTTTCGGGAGGATCCCACATGCCGCGGAGCGGCTGGGCCCGTGAGCCATGGCCGCTGAGCCTGCGCGTCCGGAGCCTGTGCTCCGCAAATGGGGGAGGCCACAACAGTGAGAGGCCCGCATAACGCAAGAAAAAAAAAAAAAAAAATACAAAGTTTTATTTTCTCACATAAAAATCTGGAAACCAGCAATGCAGGGTGGCACTTGCATAAAATTCTTAAGAACCTAGGCTCGCTCTAGCTTTCTGCTCCACCACCTCTAGCACATCCTCATGGTCCAAAATGGCTGTTGAAGCTCTAACCATAATATCTGCATTCTAACCATCAGGAATGATGAAGAGGAAAAAGAGGGCATTATCCTCTCCCTTTAAGGACGTTTCTCTGAAAAAGCATAGATCACATTTGCCTACGTGGAGTTGACACATAGGCACACTTAGCTGCAAATGAAAATGGGAAATGTCTTTATTTTAAAGGGCTATGTGCTCAACTAAAAGTCATCTCTTCTGTTACTAAGAAACAGAGGTAGAGTGGATATTAGGGGACAGCAAATAGCCTTTGCTTCAGAGGTGAACAGGCAATTTATATATCTCCTCACCCTAAAAAAATAATGAAAATGTAAAAACATATTTAACCTTAAAATAAGTTTTAAATTTAAGATGTTAAAGAAATATAATGAGATACTTCCCCTCTCCATCAAACTGGCAATTTTTTTCTTTTTAAAAACTGTACCTCTGATAAAGAATTTAAGGAAATGGATACTCTTACCCATCTACCTTCAGTGGGAAAATAAATTGATACAATTTGGGGGGAAAATTTGGCAATATAATTTAAAATGTTTATCCCATTTGATCCATGTATTTCATATCCAGGGATTTATTCTAAGCCAATAGATGTGTACATAAACATTTATGGTTAATAGTGTCAGCATAGAGGGATAAGTTAAATAAAATACAGTAAGCCATATTATGGACTCCTTCTTTGAAACCATTAAAATTGTATGTTAGAATACTTAATGATGTGAAGAATTCCTCATAATTTGTATGTTAGAATACTTAATGATGTGAAGAATTCCTCATAATATGTTTTGTGAAAGAGTCTGGTTACAAAAAAATATACACTATAGCATTTAAGTTGTATTTATATGTATACACACCTAAAATGCTAGCAGGATATTAATAGTGATTATTTTTAAATAAGGAGAGTGAGTTTTATTTTCTTGCATATGCTTTTCTATATTTTTTCCATATTTGCCAAACTATTTACAATAACCTGACTAATTTTCATAATTAAATAAAAATAAATGTTAAGGAAGAAAAGAATAATATTTTATCATCCAAAAACAACTAGAAGAGAGACGTTGGGGATAAATATCCTACACCTGAAAAGGAAGAAAAGCCCACAGAATATATTCTGCTTATGAATGATTTTACGTCACCTGTTGCCATAGAGACAGACAGTGGAAATCACTTATTGTTCCAATTCTGTTTTAAGCTAAGAAAGAAAAATCACTCACTGAGAGGGGAGCCTGGTCCCCTGGAGCTGGGCCTGTAATAAGCAGAAAAGCACCTGGACTGTGGTCGGCCAATTTCCATTTCACATCCCCAAGCGTCCCATGGTGTTGGTACCACATCTGCTGGCCAAATATGAACATCAGCCTTTTCTCATTTGTATTTCTAAAATGCAATTTCTAATTGCAGGTACAGCATGGTTTTCCAAAGCTTAAAATAAAAGGCTATAGTGGAAAGCAGAAATACTTCTTTTTATTTAATTTAATTTTATTTTTTGATCGTGCCACGTGGCTTGTGGGATCTTAGTTCCCCAACCAGGGAGTGAACCTGGGCCCTTGGTAGTGAAAGCGTGGAGGCCTGACCACTGGACTGCCAGGGAATTCCCATGGAAAGCAGAAATACATCTAATGAAGTGTTCATTTATAGTTCCCTATGGAAATGATTTTTCATTTTGGTAGGGAATTAAGTGTAAATATCCCTATACGAAATGGTAAACATGGCAGATTGTGGACATAATCAAAAATACTGTTAATGTCTCAGCTGGTTATTTCTTTTCTGGGGTGCTGTGGATAAGGACCAGATACATGCCAGGATGATCTTGAAACACCATTTTTACTTTAGGATTTGCATTGTATTGCTTGGCATCTTTAGTATTCTTGGTGTATTCACGTTAGTATTTATTTTAAAGATGTCTTTTAAGATACTCTGCAGATCCAGAGTGATCATTTAAAAATGTAAATCAGATCATATCACTTTCCTGCCTCCAGTGGCTTCCCATTAAAATAAAACTGAAACTCCTTACTGTGGCTTACAGGGCCAATTATGACCTAGCCTTGCCTACCTATCTCACCTGCTTCTCCTTGCCTCACCCCCATGCACTCTCTCCTGCTCACTCCACCCAGTCACGTGGGCTTTCAGACTCCGCTTGTTCCCATCTCCAGGCCATTTTACTTGCAGTTCCCTCTGCTTGGAGTGTTCTTCTCTTGCATGGATAGTTGCTTCTTATCTCTTAATTCTTAGCTCAAATGTCATATCCTCAGAGAAGCCTTCCCTAACCACTGTCTCCAACTGTCACTCTATCACAGAACCCTATTTGATTTCCATTATCTTACTTGGCAGTATTGAAAATACTTGACTTTTTGTTTAATTTCTGTCCTTTTCCTTTACCCTCAATTTGAGTATACACTCCAGGAGGGCAGAGAAGCTGTCTGTCTTGCTTACTATTGTTAACTCTAGCACCTAAAGCACTGCTGACACATAGTATGTTATCGATTAGTGTTCGTTGAATAAAATATAAATAGGTGCATCTATATAGTTGGTGAAAATAATATAGTTCCCATGCTATCTTTGAATGTGCTTTATGGTAAATCTTTAAATCCCCTTTGTTTTATCTCTATGACCCTACCCTAGTCAAATTGTTCCCTGTCTTACACATTCAGTTGGAAACCTATAGACTAAGGCAAAACTACGGGGACAGGAAAAAAGATCAGCAGCTGGAAGGGGCTGGGGGCAGGATAGGGTGAGGGAGGGATGAAGAGGTGGAGCACAGGGCATTTTTAGGCCAGTGAAACTATTCTGCATAACAATATAATAGTGGATACATGTCATTATGCATTACCCAAAACCCATAGAATGTACAACACAAAGAGTTAACCCTAATGTGAACTATGAACTTTAGCTAATAATAAAGTATCAGTATTGGCTCATCAATTGTAGTAAATATACCACACTAATGCAAGATGTTAACAGTGGGGAAAACTGGGGGTGAGGTGGGGTGAGAGGATACAAGGGAACTCGCTGTACTTTCTGCTCAACTTTTATGCAAACCTAAAACTTCTAAAACTAAAGCCTAAAAAAGACCCACAGAGACTATTAATAAAAACTTATTTGGATGACTAAGGCAGAAGACGAATCTAGGGTTTATTGCCTGGTGGTGGTGGTAGGGGACAGATATTCCCAAATGAGCAGCTTGTGTGCTCGACTTAGGCTCAAGTTGCTTAAAGATTTCTCAAAAATGGTAATGAACTGTATAGATGCCATCCAAGAGGAGCTGTTGTAACCACTAAAAAAAGAATACAGATTATGTTTAGAATAAAAAGCAACCTGAAATCCTTTCTGAACAGATACAAATGTTTGGCCTATTTCAGTATCAAAAGAAACAAATCAGGCAACCAGGTAACCTACATTTATTGAAAGTCAACCTGAGTGCATCAGACTCTACTACTTATCATCAGGAAATAAAATGAAAATATTCTAGAAAACACTGACCTTGCGTTCATCTGCACAGATTTTTTTTTTCTTTCTAAATTTAGCTTTTCCCTAATGACCTGAGATGGTCCTGTTCTTTACCAAACACTGGCTAATTTAATATTTGGAAATATTTCCTCTAGAGGGTTTTGGAAATTCAGTCTTAAAAGTCATCTTATACTGAAATTAAAATTATAATATCTGTGTTGGTATGAAGGAATCAAAAGCCAAATATATCCGTAATAGAGTGGATTTATTTACATGGCATAATTTCAGAAGATACCCCCCACCCCCATTTCCTATCTTATTTAAGACATATATTTTCTATCTGCTTACTGGTACTTGAAATTTCAAAATTATAATAAATTCCTTAGGGTTAAGACATTTAATGCCTTTAAAAATGCAAAAACATCTCAGTAAGTAGTAACACATTGGGTTATCAGTAATTTGTACCTTTGGATGGTTGTAGCCTA